GGTCTTTCGATGACTCTTTCGGCATTAAATAATTCACGGTTTACTGGGGTGTATATCGTGATGAAACGAATTCCATTAATTGTTAAAGCCTCGTTCTCAAGCGCCTTTTTGTTTCAGCAAGAGAGTCCGAAATCGAAAAATCCTCTGCTGCCTCTAGCAGTCTAAGGTGTGTGCTTTTCATATAATCAACCTTTCGTATCTGCATAAATTTGCTGGCCTTTGCTCTAAATCTTTCAATTACCGGCCCGTGGTGTTAAAAAATTAAATTACGGAGACGGCCTGTTGGAATTGTTGGGAAAGGGAAGCATTATTTATTTTATTCAATATTAAAAATCTCAAGCGAAAATTCTATCTTGAATATTTATTCATCATTTTCATTTCGTGTCCTTTTAAAAGCAGTGTTATCGCAATCACAAATTAAGTAAACTATCACAAATTCAGCCACTGTTCCCTGTTAACACTTTCCGTAAGTAGTGTTTTAACACTGTCCTAACTAGTTTAAACTTGGGTCATATTCAACCTTTCGGTGATGTACATTAAAATTTCTTCGTTCAAATTGGGGGAAAAAAATTAATGTAACGCAAAAAGAATGCGTACATAGAATTACAGATTGGAACTCAAATTGTATGTGTTATTTTGTGTTAAATCTTTGTATAAACTACGCCTGAAGAGCATGTTTTTCACGTTAATTGCCGCATATTGTTAAGCGCCTCTTAACCATGGTTTGTAAGGCTGATTACTGTATGCAATCTCTCTAGGTCCGAGAAGCCCGCGTGTGGTGTTAGCGCACGGGTCTAACTTGGGATCTGCCTGGTCAAATCACTTTCTTCTCAAAGTCACGAAGAAATGTTCGACTCTGAAGTCCCGTTTTTGGACTAGATTGGAAGAATTAATACAATGGCTCAAAACGGATCGAATACGTGTAATGAAATAAAACATAATAAAATCAATGCATGTCTGGGGTTCAAGTGAGAACCAGACCAGAAACATACTGTATCAAAAGTATGGTGGTATTGAGGAGAAAGCTCCTTGTGGTAATAGTGATTTTGTAACACCGATTAATTGGTAATTCCGCATGAACCAGGCAACTCTGTGCTCTTAATCTTATAACTTAATTGTTTTCCTCTCTTAGACAACATATTTATTGGTTAACAAACGAAAGCATGCTCTGATTAGAAAGAGCTTTAGAATTTCCATTTCTACAGGATTGAAAATCGGGGCGTGCGTTCGACTTTTGTAATCAATTTCCATCTGATTGACCATCTGTTAATCAACGTTTTTGAAGAGAGGATGTTCCTTAAAATCGACACAGCGTGCTAAAACAAGAATGACCTCTCAACCTAAACCAATTAGCATTTTTACATCTTCTTTATCCGCCTAAATAATTCTAGGGTTTCATAGCACTCGCCATACTTACAGTGCAATTAAATTGTTTCCGTTTTAAAATGCTCAGGTGCCTTACGCTATAAGTTATGAGAAAAGAAAGGGAGCTTCTGGAACAGACATTCCGTTTTTTCACTATTTGTGAAAAAAACCCGTGTTGATGTGAATCGGGAACCTTTGCAGAATTATGAAGCGGCCTATTTTTTTAGAGTCTCTTGGTAACTGAATTTACACGCTAAAGTTCTAGTGGTTTGTGAAAATCGCATTACATGCTTCTTCCGTTTGTGCCAATCTGTATTATATATTGTGCAGAGTGCGCTGTACTAAAGGGTGTGATTCGCAGCCAGCGGAAACGGTCGAAGCGTGTTCGTCGTCGGTGTAAATCAGACTGACTCCATGAATCCGTGAGGCGTGCCTGAAGCGAAAGAAGGGATTGGAGGAGTTGCGTTTTCTTTGGCATCCTAGGTGCTGTGTGCCATCTGTCGCGGTTTTTATGTATGGTTCACAATCCACCAATGGGTCAATTAGGCCCGTTTGCAAAGCAGCGCTCGTTGGCTATTCTGGTGCCCTTATGTCAGAGTGGTTGTAAGCGCTGTGCTTTAATAAGCCCTAACCAAGCAGTACGTGTTCTGTCTGGCGCCCAGCCTGCCGCTCGGTTCCTGTTATTTAAAAGCCTCGCTA